ATAGGTGTAGGAACAGGGGGGACGGGGGGCCAGTGGCCCCCCACTTTTCATAGTGGGGGGGGGGGGGGCACTAATGGTTGGTGCCCCCCACTTTTTAAGCAAGAAAAGTCGAAAGATGTCAGTGTCCGCGTTGACCAAATGATGAAGCCCTGTTTCATTTAGCTTCATATTTGAGATCGGTGCGTTTCTGGCGTCTAATGGGGGTCCATTAAGCCATTGTTTTAGTTCGAAACCAGTTTGAAGTCTGGAATTCGCATGGGTGCCAACGCGGCTGCGGAGAACAGGGGGGCGCGTCCACCAGGTTTACTTTCTGGACGAGGGTCTTCCTGAGATTTTGGCCGTTTTTTCTTGTAACGTTTTTTTAACCGATTTGGGCATGCTTGCGAAAATAAAGTGGCCAAAATCCGAGGAGAAAATGGATTTTGGGGGTAGGTGAGGTTTTGGGCCTCCATGGGGCCTGCCCCCCCCCCCCCACTTTCGAAAACGTTCCTACACCTTTGATCGCAACCATCACAATAAGCGCCGCGGTGGGCGCCGTTCCCGTGCGCTCCGTCGCAGCGGCAGGTCGGTAAGAACCGGCCCCGCGCCATCGGCCCGCCGCCGTCCGGCTCGTACCGCTCAACCACGTACAGTGGTGGCCCGTCTGACTGTTCACCATCACTGTCCGGATCTGCGGTACCGTCACTATCCACATCCTGGCAGCCACGGCGGTGACGCAGGCAGCGCACGTGCCGCGGCAGCCCGTCAACCTCCACAGCTTGTGGGGAGACTACGCCCGTCACGCCCGTCCCACTGCTGTATCAGCGTCTAGCCGGCGCGGCCGCCTCCACACGGCTAATCGAGACGGCCCACACTCCACAGTCAACTATACTGAGGTAGGACTGGCCTCCGTAGTGCGTCACGTCGATAGCCAGCCTCCGCCACGTTTGCGGCACGTCCAGCGACCCGTGCCGCCACTTGTTTGGGGCCGGATCAATCGCCTGACACACCTCACAAGTCACTACGGTACATCACAGCACGCGCGAGCTCCCGAAAAACACGGCAGATATCCCGGCGGACAAAAACAGCGTCCGGCGGATACTTGGGTGGCCGGCCCGCTCATATGACTCGGTCACACTCGCTGCCGTAGCCTGAGCCGCACTCTAACCTGATCGCCGCGCTGCAGTCGCGCTAGCAGCCGGCGACTCACTCGCAGATGCGCTCACTGCCGACCGGATGCAAACAGGTAATGGCCAATATCAAGCTAGCTATATTGTATTTCGTGACTTACTGTGTAAAGTGTATATTTCGTGAGAAACGAGGACCAAGCAATCAGCTGACTTACTGTGTAAAGTGTATATTTCGTGAGAAACGAGGACCAAACAATCTGCTGATCAGACGTCCGGCATCCGGTTTTGTCACCGCAGCACAGTGGGGATTTTTCCGATCTAGCACGTATTTATTCGTAGAGGGCAAACCATAGGTAGTATTGTAGCCAGATTGTGCACAGATGTTGGCTGGTGTGTTCTGGTGAGAGTGTTACCTGTAAATGTGCATAATCAACATAGTATAGGGGGGTCAATTGGACCCCCGGCTCAGCCGTTTGGCCCCTGATCAAGCTAGAGCTTCGCGGAAAAATCAAGCGTGCTGTCTATGACGAGATGAGGCCGAATATATCCAATTTCAAAGTCCAAGGTCATTAATTGACTTTCCAAGTCAAGTCAATGACCCAACTAAAGATGGAAAATCGAGACCTCTTGGAACTTCGTAAAGTTAGGATGTTACGGGGTATTTTGGGGTGCTGATCACGAATTTCATGTTAGTTTTGATCACAGACGATGTCTTCATGCATTTAAGCCAGGTCGGGTCAGGTCAGGTCAGCCAGTAGACGTCCTGCCGGCCATCCATAATAGGTGTCACCTACTACTGACAGCTTCGTAACATGGTACGAAGGCACCAGAACTACTTCGTAAATATTCAAATGGTTGCTAAATTCGAAATCAACACCAAAAACTACCCTAGAAGCAAGTAAAACTCGAAAAAGTGAACCAAGGTCATCAAAGGTCAATGACCTTGACCTGACCTTCACGTGACCTTGACACCCACCATAATGCATGGCACCAGCATCATTTCACATATTTGAACGTTTAAAACCACAAAAAGACTGGAAACCGCGGATAATGTGAGCTGGCATACGCCGAATCGCGATTCCGGCCAAACATGGTCTCGAGAAATATGCCACAGGTCAAAGGTCAGTTGGGTCAGAGTCATGAAATTTTTAGGTTAGATGTAAAATTGATGATCTCGAGGGCAACGAAAGTTTCGTCGCGATCGGCTGCTTTTTGCGCGAGTGATTTGCGGAAAACCATGGGGTTTTATCCGACCCCTTCCCCCTCCCCCTCCCCACTAGTGCTAGGGTTAATAAGGTTGCGGTATGTATAATTTACGCCTGTCATCCTATTCCTCATGAATGTGTCTCAGAAAATATGCATCATATAGGCCTGGCTACACTATGCGTTTTCTGCGTGCGTTTTTTGCAGGTTTGCGTTTTTTGCGTAATATCGTTCTAGAAAAAAGTCATAAATGATACAACTTTTCCATTAGTTGGATACAAAAGTTAATATAATTCTGATTTTAACTAAAATTTAATATAAAAAACATCACAAAACCGTAATATCGTTAATTTTTCTAGAACGATATCACGCAAAACACGCAAACCCGCAAAAAACGCACGCAGAAAACGCATAGTGTAGCCAGGCCTTATAAGTCAGGAAGTAAAATTATTCGCCCATGTCTGGAACATACCTATATCGTGCTGTTTGCCCTAGCGCTCCTAGAGTGGGGTATTAAGATACTCTAATGCGAATATTCCGTGTTCAGGCAAGTTCCGGCAGCCAAACTAGGCGTTGTCTTGTGCAGGAGAAAGTGGCGAATTCGATAGGATATATTTCGGAGTGGAAAAGTGTGGAGAACATTGTTGATTTCCTACATTTATTTAGAATACCATTCCTTCAATATGGTGTCTGTAAGGGTTTTTTGTAAATGGCATTTTTGTGACCTTAGTAAGGTTGTGGCATACTTTCTGTTTGCCATTCCATTCCTAATATAGGTGCCTTTCAGAAGATATGCAACTTTAAGAACTCGCAAGAATAAAACCAACAGGACAGGACAATGAAATTGAGCTATACTTTCGGTCCTTACTGAGCCCATTGAGTAATCACGCTGAGTGTGAACTTTGGGCGCATTTTTCCTAGTCTTGCTGTGGACATACAGATAAAACAATGCCATATATGAAAAATTCAGACATTTCTTAGCCCCACTGACACATAAAATAAACAAAAACCCAAAAAAGATTTTTTGAATTAATAGGCGCTAGATCGGAAAAATCCCCACTGTGCGCAGGTACGAGGGGCGTTGTTCTACCGCGGGGAGCCACATTCATTCTGCAGTTAATGTTACCAGGCTAGACGCAACTTATCCATGATTAATGTAGAACATGACACAAAGTATCGGAAAATGCCTCGATGATGTGTTGAACAATGAACATGCTCAAGTCTCCTAAGTCAAGCCTTCTAAGAAATGCCACCCCCACAAACAACCATGAGAGCAGTATCAGATAAAAACGGCCCATGTTGACCTGACCTGAGTTGACATCAGACAGTAAAACCTTGCCTGTTGTATCACTAGAACGGCACCAAACTCTTCTAACTGATTTGGCACCACAAAACGGCAGTGTCGTCGATGCATCGCAGATAGCGCAAGGCTTACCCTGATCGTCGTCAAAAGCAGCAATATTTTATTTTGACCTGTTCTAGCGAGGCCAAGGCGTGACCTAAAAAGGTAAAATCATACACCGTTATACTCGCAAAAAAAAAATCCTTCGGGAAGCTTGAACACAACTAGGGGCGAAACAGCGCCGGGTTGGCTGGCTACCTCCTATGTGCGTTCTAGGATGGCGAAATAGCATGTGCGGGCGAGAATTAAAGCTTGGCTGCATTGCCATCAGGAGTCAGGTCACTAATCATGCAACCCCGCATGTAATAACGCTGACGGTTGCACCATAACGATAAATAATCTAACAGTTCATCTCCCTTTAGTCATTGAACCGAACTACCTAACGCCGTTTATCACTTGTTGCTACAGTGCCCGTTTGTATCTTATTGGAGGAGGGATGGGAGGGAGGAAGGGGGGAATGACTTCTGAGCCGTGTGTTCCGGTAAGCGATGTGTACATACTGCAGATCTCTGTTTGTCATCCTCAGAACGCTCGCCACCACCACGCGGATCCGGCCTACGGGCCGGCCCGATATGCGATATGCGGCGGAATATGCACCTGCGTCGGACTGCGCGCCTACGGCAGACTGCGCTCCTGCGTCGGACTGCGCTCCTGCGGACGCCTCGGGCCTGAGAACGTGGGGTGATTGTGCTTCTTGGTGCGCGGTGTGAAAGCATCTATGTAGTGTACATATATTTTGTAGGGGAGAGGAGTGCGAGACTTTGGTCCCTTCCGACGTTGAGCGGGTCCGTTCGATTTCGGGCGGGCCTTCCGGGCGTCGGTTAGTGCTGGGGCGGGCCACCGGGCCAGCTGACCGGACCGCGTGGCACATGTGCCGCGATCAGAGGCCGGTGCTGGTCGGTGACCTCGGTGACGGGCATTCTGTGGACGGGGGCTGAGCCAGATGGACGCGAGGAGAATAAAGAAGGAGAAGAACTCGGCCTTTACATATGCATGTTCGAAGACAATATGGATATAATGCAATTCCACTACATGCTAAAATTGCGATTGAGCATATATTCGGACTTAGGTTGGAGTAACAACGTTCGCTATTCTGCACGATAGGTGTTAACTGGACGCCATGTGGTCTGTACTATTAGGAATGGTGATGCATTTGAGGTAATCCTAACAATCTGCAAAATATCACTTCACTAATTTGGTAATGTTCATTACCGCCGTTTTAAAGTTAAATATTTCAATCGGTTATCCTTTGGTATCGGCAGCCGTGTCGTCCTGAAACAAGCTAACAACAACAGCATCCCTTTATTGCTCAGTCAACCCATCTATGTGACTTAATAAACGGATCTTTTAGCAAAATCGCATTTCACGACTAGCGATCACGACTAGCAGCACTGCACAGCTGCCTAACTTTTTGCAGCTGATGAATAAAAAACTGGAAGCATTAAAGCAACAGCAGCGAACGATAAGCATCATATTAGCATCACACTAATTGACAAACGTCGGCATCTGCACTCTTAGCAACTAATGATGTTGCACTCTTAGCAACTCCAAAAACGTTGGTCAGTTCAACGACGTCAGTTAAGCTCGGTGTAGCGTAGTGTCCGTTCAGTCAGATGTACTTAAGTACACTTGCGCCCTTTCACCCTACAGGAGCGTCTTACTCACTGGGCCCACTTTTTTCGGGCCTGGATCCGGTTGTATACACAGTTTTTCACATCCGTCCACGATCTCTCCGAGAGTGCGCTCTCACATTCGATGGCGTTGACGCAGTCCGCCTTTCCGGGTACCTGGTGCCTTTCTATAAAGGACTTGAATCTCGAGTTTATAGCCCTGTTTTCGTCTGCCGTCCATGTCTTCCTCTTCACAGGTGCCCGTTGCTGCTTGGATATCCGTGCTCGGGTCGTGACTGGCGGTTCTGAATCACGAGACTGTGTCGGACTCCGGACTGCGGACTGCGTACTGGACTGTACTGCGGACTGTGAACTCTCTGGCTCTGGCCGACTCTGGATATCGTCGTCCACCTCGTCGTCAGTGTTGTCCTGATTCTCGTCTGCAAGGTCCTCGGGCTCGTTCGGTATGTCCTCCAGTCGAATCTCCGCCAGGCTTTTCCCCCTCCATGCTACTATCCCCCGCTCAGACGCCATCAGCAGCTTGCTCACTAGAGCCAACTGAGTAGTAGCTTCCGGCATTCTGTAGACCTCGCGGTGGACACGAATGTCATGGCCAAGAAACGTGGCCAGGAGGTCCAGTTCATTGTCTTTCAGGTTTAGGACCTGCGAGAGGGTGGCGATATGCTTGCGGAGCTTGGTGGATGTCAGAAGGGACGGTTTGTGAATTCCGCTAGATACCGCGACTTTGCGGAGGCAGTCAGATCCGCGCAGCGGCCTGTCATCCGCCGACATACTGTTGGCGAAGACATATCGCGACGCGCCGACCCCTGCCGCACCTCGACATTTCAGCAGCAGCTCGATGCTCGCACGCATATCGTGAGTGAGCAGTATAGGCACGCCCCTCCCCTTTTTTCCCCGCACCACGACTCTCGTTAGATTGTCCGCCAGATGCTTCTCAAACTCGGTTAGGGCGCTAGCCACTTCAGGGTTGCCGTTGGTGTTTGAGATGGCCTTCTGGTAGGCGTCCACCGTCATGGACGACGCCTCCCCCTGTCTCCTCCGATTGAACATGATCAGCCTCGCCAGCACCAGCTCCGACAGATTCTTGTACGCCTTGGCAGTAGCGACCTCTCTGAGTTCGTCTGTCCTCTTGGCCGTTTCTTCGTCCAGGTAGCGGTGGACGCTTTGGATGTCAGCTGCTACCGGCATCTCATCCTCCCTGTTCCACCTGTCCTCTTCCAGCGTCACCATCGCGTGTCGCGCCACCCGCTTTGTCCACTGAAGGGCGTAGAGTTCGAGGAACCCTCGAGTCTCGCTCGTGTCCTCACTTTTCTCGATCTGAGAGGCGAGGAGCTGATCAGCACACATCTTCAGACTCTGCCCCACCTTTATCGCCAAGGAAGGGGTGCTGTATCTGTTTGTCCCGGGATGGAAGCCTGAGAGTTCGCGAACAGCCGCAGTCAGCTGCGAAAAGCTCCCAGCCCTGATGAAGTCTCGGAGGTTTACCTCCGGTTCGTCCTGCCTCAATAACTCCAATAGCCGCCCCAGCTCCCTCATTCGGTTTCTTATGTTCTGGATGTCCTTGGCCTCCTCGCCATGCTTGGCACACAGACATTCACCGAGCGAAAGAATCATCTCATCCGTTTTGCATAGAAGTGACACCTTATCAATACACATTGAGGAGAGGATCTTCTGGAGCTTTGCCGAACAGGCGACAGTTGGCGGCATCTGTGCCCTGGCACGGGCCTGGACTCGCCCTCCTTCTGAAGGGTTACAGATACGTACGTGCCGCCATAGGGTCTTACGAACAAAAAACCCTTTGCAAGTGCCACAGGCCACAAAATCTCGCCCCGTCCTGGTCATTCGAGCCCTGTTGCAGGCGATTAGTTCTCCCTTCTTCTCCCCCGATCGTACAGCAATGTTATGGCGATAGTTTCCCTTCTTCCTCAGGTCACTGAATGCTTTCCTCCTTTCGGCGGAGTGCTTCGGATGCACCAGCGCCAGTTGCACGTCAGTCTCCGTCCCATGCGATCGCTGTAGATGTCTGGTAAGTTTAGCCTGTGGCAGCTCGCAAAAGAAACAAACGTTGCGCCTGTCCCATCGACGTCGTCCTGGACAGTTGGAAGTTCTAGCCACCGGACATAATTCGCCCGTTGCCGATCTCATCGACTCAGTCCCTGCAGCGGCCAGCCTCGATGGACCCGCACTCCCAGTTCCTACCTCGGACACGTGACTGTCACCCACCGCTCTTCTTGTAATCCTCGCGACAGGTGCTGAGGGGTCTGACTCCAGTCCGGGGTAGCGTGGCAGGTCGGATGAAACCACCGAAGCCGGAATTTCATAATCCGAGTCAGGACTGTAGTCAGGATCGTCGTCAGGATCGTCATAGCTGTCTGCGCCATCTGCGAAAAAGAAAGAAAAAATGTTGCAGCTACCCAGAATGTTATGCGTCCGCCAACAACAATATATTTGGTGCATGGCGGGTGAGCCTCGACAAGGGGCCAATCTAACCCTATTCCCTGCGGGCGCCTAGAATCGCATTCACCTGCGAGGATGGGAGCAGATTTCGCCCCCTCTCCGTAATCTCCGAAACTACCGGGCCGATTTCCAAAATTAAAAATGCCAATCGAAAAATCAGGAAAAACTTCCTTCGGAACCCTTATTCAGTAGACCTCAGATGACCCGATGACGTCACACAGGTAAGGTCAGTCAAAATTATCGGCCTATGTACACCCGGGCGCAAAACAACGATGCTATTCAACGATGAACAATGCTCACACTTCTCCCTCACGAGCTCACCGGCCCCTCCAGTGAACGGTGACTCTAGAGAACGACTCTCCGTGGACAGAAAAGAGCGGAGCGGCTGAATATTGGGCTAGCGGCAAGTGCGGTGATGTGATATTGTATTTGAATTTGGGAGAGTGGATACCAAATCGGTAAAAGATAAATGCAGTTAACCCGCGCCCCACTGGGGGGGGCTATTTATAGCCCCCCTGTCGTTTTTCTGGGCCCTGTTTCACGGCACGCCGCTTCACTCCGCTTCAGCGCGCTTCACTGAAGCGGTGAGTTCAAGGTCATTCCGATACTAAGGCATGACGTCATCACAAAACGCGAGCGCGCTGCATTATGTTGCTTGCAGTATTGTTTTGCATTGAAATATGACACAGAATACAAATATAAAATGTAGCGGCCATATTTCAATGAGAAGCAACACCGCAAACAATATAATACAGCGCGCTGGCGTTTTGTGATGACGTCATTTCTTGGCATCGGAGGTTCCGTTTAACTCACCGCTTCAGTGAAGCGCACTGAAGCGGAGTGAAGCGGCGTGCCGTGAAACAGGGCCCTGGAATATCTTCTAAACCGCTGGACGTATAATCACGAAACTTTCAGTACCTTCGCCTGCATCAATTTGACACCTCATGTCCAAATAAAAACTTTATAGCTCCCATAGGTCGGCCGGAAATGACGTCAGGGTGACGTCATGTTCGGCCGATTTTGATGCAAAACATTGAACTACGGCAATCGCTCTCAAGAGCTTAGTTTTTAAGATAGATCCAAGTTCTTTGCATGATAGGACTCAGAATGAACAGGGCTATCAAACTGCTATCTCGGATTTTCAAAATTTTGAAAATTTCAAAAATTATACATATAAACTTTCAAAAATTCTTTTTGAAATTTTTCAAAAAAATTTTGCTTTTTCGAAAAAACGGAATATATGTGATAGAACACATACCGGTGACCTACTCTAGGAAGTTTTAAACCGATATCTTCAAAAATAGCCAAGTTATACGCTCTATAGAACAAATATCAGTCATTATTAAATTTTCAAATCAATTTTTCGGTACGTTTTTGACATTGTACACCAAAATAAATAGCACCATCGTGTTCCTGAGCTCAAACTGCATCTGATACACCTTTTTGTTGAAAAATTTCAACTTCAAAATTTGACCTTTTTTGACCTGAAAATGACCTGACCTCAGCTTTTTTCAGCTGAAAATGGCCTGATATGACACAGACGACACTGATTTCGAAATCTATGGCCTAAATGGACCATAAAACATGTGTCATGTGACCGATTAAATATAATATTTCCGTGACCTAGGATGACCTGGCCGTGACCTGAAAAATTCAAAGTACAAGTTTGGTACCCTCAGGGTATCTTAGGCATGTCTTCATGAGTGTGTAAACCAAAAATGAGCCTGATCCGACTTTTCAGCCGGCGGCCAGAGCCCAAATAGTTAACCCACGAACCGCTGGGGGGGGGGGCATAAAGTTGCCCCCCTTTACGTTTTGTGGAATATCTCCGAAACCCGATGAGCTACGAACGTGAAACTTGGCACAGCTTCAAATGAATACCTAGGCAATGTTTGAGGAAAGTTTGGTGGTTGTAGCACTTAAGATGACGTCACAGTGACGTAATAAAGTTTTGTCGTTTTCCGATAAGGACCGTTTCTGATGTCGCTGAGCATGAAACTCAACTGTAAATGAACTAGACAGCACCTGCTGTCATCCTAAAACATCTTAGTACACTTCCAACTAGTTCGTGGCCAATAATCGGCCCTTTATATTCGGTCTCATATGTCGGATATATCGTGAGGAAACTGAGAGTCGCAAATCTATAATTTTACTTCTGACGTCACTGTGACGTCATTTCAAATGGGATCGACACCAAATTTGGACACAACCTCGGCTAGGTATTCAGGAAGATGTGTGCAAAGTTTCGCGTCTCTATCTCTTCGCGTTGCGACGATATCGTCGCAGAAGTAAAGGGGGGGGGGCAACTATATGCCCCCCCCCAGCGGCTGGCGGGTGGCGCGGAGGCCCAGCGGCCGCCGGGTTAACAAGCCAATACGTCGATAATTTTTACTTTGATCTGACCTGTGACGTCATCGGTGACCTCGAGATCAATAAAATCGGATAAAATTAGGTTTCGCTCGACAGTTTTCCAGGGCTATCAGACGCCGTTTGAATTTTGACAATCGGTCCAGTAGTTTCGGAGTTAGGAGGGGGGGGGGGCTATAAATAGCCCCCCCCCCCCAGTGGGGCGCGTTATTAAAAAACCCCAGTGTGGGGCGCGGGTTAACCCTCGCACGACCAGGCCATTTCTCATAACACGAACGACCAGGGGGGGGGGGGGTTGTTACGACCCTCCCCCTGGCGATTGGCTCCTATGGCACTTAGAAACACCAAATTTACAGGGTAGATGGGTCTATAGGAGATCTCGCCCCTGTGCAAGTTTGGTTGCTCAAGGTCAATATTTAGGGGGGTTTTGGGGGGTATAAATGTAAAATTTTTGCTAAAACAGGCTAAAAGTTTTTCGCTTATAACTTTTGATCTAATTAAGATAGAGCAAAAAGAAAAGCACCAGTGAACTCAGCACGTCAAGGCGCGTCGAATGATATACTTGTTTGCTTGCTTAAGTGTACTTAAAAAGTTAAGCACATCTTAAGTACATCTTAAGTCTTAAGAGTGGTCAAAATGCTTAATGTTGCATATCATTCGACTCGGATGTTCAAGAGGAACAGAACGATGCCATTTTGAAAGCTGTATCTTTATTGTGTGACAAGTTTTTGGCACAAACGTCATTTGACCTCAGTTGACCTCATTTGACCTGACCCATGGATAAGTACACCAAACAAAGAAGCACCAAGTGACATAATGTTAAGTACTGTTGTTTCAAAGCACCAAAGTGATAGAACGAAGCGGATATCGCCAGTATTTTCCGAATTGAATATTTTCCCATAGGCTTAACATTATGACGTAATGACCTCTAACTGACCTCAGGTCAGTGACATGAAAAAAACTGGAATATATGTTATACAACTCGGTGAACTTAGGACATCCTGAAAGTTTGAAGGAAATCAGTCAAAAACTGTGAGTTGGACAGGTGCATAAAGAAAATTGAAATTTGACCATGACCTTGTACCGGTTTTTCTGACCTGGTGACCTGACCTGAAACGGCAGAGACCTGAAATTTTCAGGGAAGGTGCCAAAAGGTTGCCCCAGAGGGTATACCAAATTTGGCGGCGCTACGCGCCGCCGTTTTAACGTTATTTGCGAAAAACCTCAGGGGGGGGGGTTGATACAACCCCCCCCCCCCTAGGCGTTCTAGGGTTAAGAGACGGCCTGAAGTCCCTTGGCTCCGTGTCCCGAGAGCCAACTATACAGGGCGAAGTGATCTGCCTTTGCGATAGACCTAAATCCATCCATCCGATCCAATTCATGAATAAGGGCTTATCCACATCTGTCCATATCCAGACCATCTTTCGGGCCTTCAATCCATATCCATCCACGCATTTTAAGCTATTTTTATACCCATCTATATCACGTCACATGGATATCCGCGGATATCCACGGATATCTATATCCATGTCAATCTCTATTTTGTTGTAACGCACTTTTCCCAAAGTAAACTTATGTTTTGCTTACACTCTTTTAATCAGCACCACCCTACCCCTATAATTTTATGCATGACTTACCTTCATTTTCGGTGTCACCAGGATCATCCGACTCTTGACTGAAAAAAAGGAACATTGTTTCAAACTTGGACGGAGGATTGGCATTCAATACATCATTCAAGACTCATTGAGACGCATCATTTTGGCCTGAAAAGGTCAAAGTCAAAGTTCGACCACAGGTCAAGGTCACCTGGTGCCCCAAAGAGGTCATCTTGCATTTTAAAAGACTTGCCTCGACAAGAGAAAGACATTGAGACTGTATCTGCCGGTATCTTGTTTTCGTATATATGCTGGATAATAAATAGCCCTGAAGTTGGACAAGTGAAAAAAGCCTGACCTGCATAACTTCATTTGACCTTAACTTATGATCTTAACCAACTTGGCATGATCATGAAAAATGTCATAGGATGTCAAAGATACCAGTGATAAGGTCTTGAAAAATTGGCGCCACCGTTTTTGAGTTATGGACGAAAAAACTCAAGGGGGGGGGGGTTGAAATGAAACCCCTCCCGGTATACCGTGGGTTAACCTGCCATGGGTTAACCTTCGCCCGGGTCGAGGGGGGAGGGGGGGGTGTTTTTGGCCACACCTGCCAGTTTTTTGCGCGTGTAAGGAAAACCGCGGCGCACAGCGCCGCAAAAGTTGGTATAGCTTATGATGCATCCATTTCGCATCCTGTGTGAAAACATTGATCCTATATCACATAGGATCATGTCACCAGGTCAAGTTAAGTAACCATTCCTCTCAAAAACTTTGTGAATCTGTCACTCCTACAATTTACATCCCAGAAGTTTGAAACCTGGGCTTTTGCATGAGGAAATCAATATGAACGATTCGTATATCACGGAATTTTCATATCGGTGACCTAAGGTCAGGTCAATTTTGCGACCTTTCCATTATATGTAAGTCAATGGGAGAAAATTCAAATGCTTTTCTTTTGGCCGAAAACACCCTCAAACATCGTGACACAGGTAAATATGACACACTGAACCGGAAAACTGCACATATGGGCTATGACCCCTTTTCTGTCCCTGAAGTCATCTCAGGTCATGAAATGTCTTTAACAGTTTTTTTTTTTAGCATAACTTTAGATAGAAACATGCTAGAGCGCTGAAAACACCATGAATACGTTCAGCTCAACAATGGGAATCGAATGACATGCACAATGACCTTTTCTGTGAGTGTGACCCTGACCTGAGGTCAAATTTTCAAATTGACCTTTTCAGGTACTTATAGTTCATTCGACGCGTCTCGACGAGACAAACGCGATGCCGGGCAAATCAGCGTCATACAAGCTGGGAGTGAAACATTATGGCACACAACCCTTTTCCGCAAAAACGTCAAATTTTGATAGTTTTTGCCCTCTGGAGGCTAAACCGTTGGCCTTAGGTCAAACATGAAAACAATACTCAGAAAGGCTAGTCTGTGATCCGGAATACTTGGTCAGTCAGATGTTTGTTCGAATCTGCGCCTGAGTATACCTGACTGCTGAAATATACAAATTCAACTCGACATGTTAAAAAAATCACTAATTTCGTAAGCAAAAGAACGACAAGAAGTAGAGCGAGAAAAAGACAATATACTCACACAGTGTCATCCAGTGTAGTGGCATCCATTTGTGGCTTCACTGCGACTGACGGCCGGCCTGACGACACCCCTGTCGGATAAAATGCCAAGTTAAGCCAATGTCGAGGGGAATGTAGCACACCACAAGATGCACAAACATCAGCCGCATGTGCTCAAAAGGACAACCCTCGAAACAATCATGGCATCCCGCTTTACAATGCGCCGCGGGATCCAATCAATGGTAAAAAATACATATTCAAATGTGTAAGTGGGTGTGAGTTATACATACTTGACACACTTCGGTGGGATCCAAGAGGGGGCGTTCGCATAACGTCCACGACGACCTGGCTTGGGATCGTATCACCTGAAACAGTACCTGTCGTCACATTGCGCAATATCATACATTCTGCACAACAGTGCAATCCTCACCCACCACTTTTTGTGAGCTAGTAACCCACGAAGCATCTGGCCGACGATATTTCATTCGTGTTATTTTTGAAAATATTAACTTCACTTCGTTCGGTTAATATTTTAGCAAAAGTAATGCCCTCGAAAACACCCTTGGCTAGGCACACCGAATAATCTGCCGTGACAAACAAGAAAAGCGTAACTCGCATTTTTTTCGATTTGAGATTTTGATACCATCAGATAGAGTATAGCAATCTCCATCTATCTGCAAAACCGTTTTTCAAAATTCGCATAACTTTTCGAGTTATATCAAATTTAATTTTTCGAGAAAAGCGTAGGTGTTTTACTGCCTACCTAACAGTAAGCAAAAAAAAAAAAAAAAAAACGTAACTACAAACGCAGCTATTAAAAAGTATCTACAGCGGTCAGGACGTTGTGTGAAGGTAAGAAAAGCGCAACTAAGTAGTTACTCTTTTCTTGCTTATCACCGCGCTGACTTCCACGCACCCTACGCCTTTTGGCCACTCAGGTAAGTGCATAAGACTTGGCAGATGTTTAATTTTGCGAGGAAAATATGCATACAAACGAATAAAGCCTTCCCTGTTTGTGTTTGTCACTTTCCTTTGTTTCACCAATACCTTCTAGTAGGTATCTGGGCGTTTGAATGAAGAAAAACTGTAAGATAAAAGCAACCAAAGTTGAAGACCACCAACTTGAAATAGTATAGGTATGGGGTGCCATAGTTTGGGACCAAGGCCAAACGAGCGATATCAAATATTTCGCTTTATTTAATGCGGTAACTTTGCTCGCGGTGAACTCTACCAAAAGGGTTTGCAAATTGTGGTTGAGGAGCAGAGCTGGTCTCTGAAGAGGTTTATAATTGAAACGATAAAAATACAGAACAAAGGTGCAGCTAACGGAAAATGCGAAATCAGAAGTAGAGTCGAGCGAGTTCTGGTGAAATGGGGCGATCAGGGGCGGGATATTCCCACTACGTTCCGACATCCCAGTATCAAGAGAGGCGACCCCCCCCCCCCCCACGGCCACCCGACCTGCCAGCACGAACAGAGGTGACCCCATGGCCGCCCGGCCTGCCAGCACCGAAGGAGGCTGCCGCTCGACCTGCCCTACATGCCAGCTCTGGCAGTGGTGACCCCACGGCCGCCCGGCCTGCCATCATCGGCAGATACGACCCCACAGCCGCGCGACCCGCCAGCACCTACGGGGGTGACCCCATGGCCACCCGCCTTCCCGACCTGCCAGCACCGGTGGAGGCGAACCCATGGCCGCCCGACCAGCCTGCACCGGCAGAGGTGACCCCACGGCCGCCCGCCCTGCCAGCACCGGCGGGGGCGACCCCACGGCCGCGATCGCTAAGCATGAAACATGAAGTCTTAACACGAAAAGTCGTGACTAGCTTAAAAAGTATCTGAAATGGAGAAAAGACATTTGCGCCCTGGCGTATTTGAAACACCGCATATTCGCCCATGCCATGAGATCTCGCAAGCCAAAAAAGCGTAACTGCGTATTTACGCTTCTTTTCCATTTCACTATGCCGCGCGCTGCACATACGGTTGCCGGACTTGAGTGAATGTAGTTACGCTTTTCTTCCCTACTTGCCCCGCTCAGGCACGTACCCAGGATTTTGCCCAGGAGGGGGCCACCTACTCTCAAAGGGGCCCCTGCCAACCCAGGCAGAGGCGTGTCCAGAACCTTTCGATGGGGGGCTGGGTATAGTGAGGTCAGTCCTTCTTGCAGACGGGCCCATCTGTAACGGTGTTAGCCCTAAGAAAATGTGGAAAATTGGCAGGCGAAAATATCATTTTGCCTGAAAAGTATGCATAACATGCACAGAAACTTATGAGCGAGCGAAGCGAGCGTGCGCCTCAGAGTCACCGGTGTGGGTCCCTCGGAGGCACTGGTGCGGGGCGCTCAGAGGTGCCAGTGAAAGGCCATCAGATGCAATGGTGTGGGGTCTTCACAGGCGCCGTTGTGGGGGCCTAAGGGCTTCGAGAAACTGGTGGGGGCCAGCATAGGCATGTGTGGGTCCTGACAGTTACTGCTGGCTCTTCACAGGCCGACAAGGGACCCTCAGAGGCCGGTCAAAAACTCTCAGAGTCGCTGGTAAATGCCGTCAGATGCGGTAGCGGTCGGCTCTCAGAGGCACCGGTGTCGGGGCTCTTAGTGCCACCAATGTGGGTCCTTAAGAGGCACTGTGTGTGGTCCTTAGAGGTGGCGTGAGGGCCCTCGCAGGCGCCATTGTGAAGGCCCTCAAAACACTGGTGGGGGTCGTGGGGCCATAACAGACGGGTGTGGGGCCCTTACAGCTGATCCCTCATTAGCCAGCTAGGCCCTCAGAGGCTGGGAAGGTCTCCCACAAGCCGGCATGGGGCCCCTCTGGAGATAAGTGTGGCTACTTTAGAGCCCACAAGCTGCTCTCACAAGCCCAGTGGAGTCCTTTCCAACTGAAGGGTGGCCAGCGTGGACCCTCTGCCGCCAATTGGCACCGCAGGGTCCCTCGGGCCCGGAGGAACCTAAACCCGATAACGGGCACATGCCCCCTCGCCCGCTGGCTATGCCACTGAATACAAGTGGTCAGGGGCCCCTTATCGGGGGCGTCTCAGGTGACCAGGGGCCTTTCAATTGACCAGAGCCCACTAGGTGACCAGGGGACCCTCTAATAACCAGGGGCCAGTTATACCAGGGGCACCTCGGGTAACTAAGAGCCTTCATATGGCTGAAGGGGCCCTTCAGATTACCAGATACTCCCCGGCAAACATGGCCCCTCAGGTGACCAGGGTTTCTTCAGATTACTGCCCAGGGGCCACCCAGGTGATCAGGAGCCCCTCAGGTAACGAGGGACCATCATATAACCAGGGGCCCGTCAGGTAGCCAGAGGCCCCTAAGATAACCAGGAGCCCCTTAGATAACCACGAGCCCCTCATATCCAGGGGCCCCTCATATAACCAAAGGCCTCTCAGATAACCAGGGTCTCTCAGATAACCAAGGGTCCCTCAGATAACCAGGGGCTCCTCAGATATCCAGATGCATCTCGGGTAACCAGGGCTGCTCAGATTACCAGGGGCCCCTCCGGTGACCAGGGGGCCCATCAGGTGACCAGGAGACCCCTACCAGGAGGCCCCTCGGGTAACCAGGGGGCCCTCAGGTGACAAGGGCCCCTCAGATAGTCAGCCACCAAGGGCACCTCAGGTGACCAGGGGACCCTCAGATGACCAGGGAGTCTCTCAGGTGACCAGGGGGCCTCAGATGACCAGGGGTCCTTCATGTGACCAGGGGACCTCAGGTGACCAGGAGGCCCCTCAGTTGGTCAGGGGCCACTCAGGTGACCAGGAAGCCCCTCAGGTGATCAGGGGGCCCCTCAAGTGACGAGGGGCATGACCAGGAGGCCCGGCAGGTGGTCAGGGACCCCTCAGGTGATTCTAACGATATGGTGCAACAAAATATGAATCATTAATCAACTATGTCGCTTACCCAGTGGCAGGGCAGGCAAGACGGGGTGAGAGGAACGCCTGGTGGCGGCGTCGGTCGGGCCTCGATCGAGATCCATGCCTGCGAAATACAAGTGATGGTCATTATGCGATACTGGTCCAGTGAGAGTAAAACCACACAACTAAAAAGTACGCTCAAAACCATGTAAGAACTATGTGAATGATTTCTGAGACACTAGCTTCAAATTTGATGAGTTGAGGGTAGAGTAGCCTGATTACGTCAAACACTGAAAATATAAATCAGTAACAGTTCAAGCGATCGCTTATCAACGATATCGCTTACCCTGTGTCGAGGCCGGCGGAACGACATCGTCGCCGTTAGCGGAACAGCCGTCCGCCTCGACATCGTCACCTGTGAAATAAATGGACGTGGCAAATTTTAAGTGAGTTACGATTTGTCGTTGTTATTCTTTTAATATACGGTGAATTAATACTTACTCGTAGCGGCGACCTCTGCTAACGAGTTCAAGAACCGGCTTGATAGTCACTGGTCTGATCATATTTATGACATACCTACTTAAGCTAGAGCAATAACCGAGGTTCAAAGAGCTCGATGAGAACAGGTCCAAAAGGCCTCTGGCCTCCCAAAGTCCCGCCAACCGTAAGGTAAAGTAATGTGAGGTTTAGGGAAAATATTAAGAACGTCGATCTACGGGGCTCCTATGGGGCATTTAAAGTCCATTCACGGTAAGGTTCCTTCAGCTAAATTGATCCTATGGCCGATTAGACGTCGTAGGCTAAATTTAAAGGAAATCGTACGGGCGGCCCCACGCAACGTGCATTGGCGTCGGGAGACGGCGGGCTTTGCCTAGTTGATTCTAACGATATGGTGCAACAAAATATGAATCATTAATCAACTATGTCGCTTACCCAGTGGCAGGGCAGGCAAGACGGGGTGAGAGGGACGCCTCGTGGCGGTGTCGGTCGGGCCTCGATCGAGATCCATGCCTGCGAAATACAAGTGATGGTCATTATGCGATACTGGTCCAGTGAGAGTAAAACCACACAACTAACAAGCACGCTTAAAACCATGTAAGAACATGTGAATTATTTCTGAGACACTAGCTTCAAATTTGATGAGTTGAGGGTAGAGTAGCCTGATTACGTCAAACACTGAAAATATAAATCAGTAACAGTTCAAGCGATCGCCTATCAACGATATCGCTTACCCTGTGTCGAGGCCGGCGGAACGACATCGTCGCCGTTAGCGGAACAGCCGTCCGCCTCGACATCGTCACCTGCGAAATAAACGGACGTCGCAAATTTTAACTGAGGTACCATTCGTAGTTGTTATTCTTTTAATATCCGGTGTATAAATATTTAGGAAAAATATAAAGAACGTCGATCTACGGGGCTCCTATGGGGCATTTAAAGTCCATTCACGGTAAGGTTCCTTCAGCTAAATTGATCCTATGGCCGATTAGACGTCGTAGGCTACATTTAAAGGAAATCGTGCGGGCGGCCTCACGCAACGTGCATTGGCGTCGGGAGACGGCGGGCTTTGCCTAGTTGGTTCCAACGATAAGTTGCAACAAAATATGAATCATTAATCAACTATGTCGCTTACCCAGTGGCAGGGCAGGCAAGACGGGGTGAGAGGGACGCCTCGTGGCGGCGTCGGTCGGGCCTCGATCGAGATCCATGCCTGCGAAATACAAGTGATGGTCATTATGCGATACTGGTCCAGTGAGAGTAAAACCACACAACCAACAAGCACGCTTAAAACCATGTAAGAACATGTGAATGATTTCTGAGACACTAGCTTCAAATTTGATGAGTTGAGGGTAGAGTAGCCTGATTACGTCAAACACTGAAAATATAAATCAGTAACAGGGGCGTCGCCACGGCTCCCCAACTTGTACGGACACATTCTGTCAGCCGTAACACTCGTCAGAGGTGTAAACCCATGCGGGCCCGTGGAGGGCATTTTCCCCCACCCCGGAGGAATAGTTGCGATAGCCCCCGAATGCCTAGGGGGCCTAGGGGCTTCGGAAAAAATACAAACACATTTTTGATACCTACATTAGGGTAGATGGCAGGTCAGCGACCCCGAGCTGCGGTTTTTTTTTTTGCAGAGTTCTTCAGCAAAGAAGGTGGTGCCAACGCATTAGTCATATCAAGATACATCGAATGACATATAGTTAGGTTATTGAAACGGTCAAGTCTTATGTTGACCTTATGTGACCTCAAATGGCCTTTGGTTGACTTTTGCACATGATCAGTCTCATTTGCTGTATTTGAAGTCGCTGGTCACAATTTTGTCATTTTCTTTTGCTCTAAGCATTCAGTTAGTTTAGTTAGAGCCTCAGGATGACAAAAGTCACATAATTATTATGGCTGACGTATCAGTGAATTAGTCTATAGAATGATACAGAGTGTAACGACATTATCCGCAAACCTTTCTTTCAGCTGTAATTAAGAAACAAACAACCTGAGGTTGTTTCCCTTTGATAATGATATAGCCACCGTTCATAAGATCATATTTAGAAATGCCTAGAACATTCCAGCTACTGGGTTTTTAAGCACAGTGGGTTTGATGTGGACCGACGCCGTATTAGCATGTGCCTACCAGTTGCTCTGTCGGGTCCTGCCGGGTGTCCCCTTATTCACCTCTTGCTGGATAAAAGTCCATAAGATCTCGATGGAATTAGGATGAAAACTATTTCCAAGCCGTAGTCCGTTAGTCCAGAAGGATAAGAGCTTCTCCCGGCGTCACTTCTCATTCTCCTACGGACTAATTTGTCTGACAGGATGTTGCTCCGGTAATACTCGTCAGTCGTCACTGATGGTGGACTCTTCTGTCAATGGGTTGGCCAATGCACAGCTGGAACATCGCACAGCAGCTGAATTTGCTCCAGATCTGGATCTCGGCCGACACAGGTTCACATCACCACACAGCACCAAAAACGGTTTCGGCGTGCTGGTTGGTCAGTATCTGGCCGTGGGGGCTGGTTGGCTGCTTGGCAGGGGCGATGAAGCCGTGCTTGTGCCGCCTGCCAAGCACGAAATTGGGCCTGTTGCTTTAGCGCCTTCTCCAAGGCCAGAGTCCGCTTGCGGTCAATTGTCGAATAATTGACCAACGGCGCCCCTCTTAAGTGGGGCGGCTTTGGTGGCCGAGGAGGCGGATGACAGACCAACGGCGCCCCTCTTAAGTGGGGCGGCTTTGGTGGCCGAGGAGGCAGATGACAGAGTTCGACGTAAGTCACTGCCAACAGGACAGGGATTCATTGGATGGTAAAAGTGAACGCGTTGCACAGCAATGCTAAATACCATGGCATAGTATTCACATATGCCGTGAAGGTGGTAGGGAAAAATGCTAGGAGTGCGCACATTAGCTTTACATTGTTTCTGCAACTCCCATGCACTAAAGCGATCCATTATTTCGTGATTGGCGTGATAGGGTAAACATATAGCTACGCTTGTCCTGCACTTGCGCACGTGCAAAGTGAGACCTTGTTTGTTGTTTGTTTGTTGGGGGTTAGGGGCGCCGACGGCGAGGTCATTTTGCGCCCATAACAAAGATTTTAAATACGTCTTTAATTACTTACTTATTTACGTTTTATGCTTAGGATAGGAAAGTAACGGGGAAGTTAGCTGCACGGATAAAGGAAAATATGCTACCGTTATGGATCCAGCGCGAGTTAACTGAGAGAAGATCTAGGAGAGTCACTGTGGGCGCAAGATGCCCGAGGTGGTGTGACCGCATCCCGGCGGCAATTCAGCAGCACATGGGCCACTGAGAGTCGTTCCCCTCAGTGGGTGCAGTTCGGTCTATCTTCACCGCGCAGCAGAAGATAGACCGATAGAATATAGACTCTTGCGTGACATTGACTTTGGGGCTGCCTTGGATCGTAACTTTACCCACAAATAGGGGACTGATAAGCGTTAAGCTACTTCAAAACATGTGCAAAGACTGTTTTTCAGTCGTCGAAACTTGTACGGACATTCCGTACAAGTTTTCGGGCCTTCCAAAACATCTACGGACACTGTCCGTAGTGTCCGTAGTGGTGGCGACGCCCATGATCAGTAACAGTTCAAGCGATCGCCTATCAACGATATCGCTTACCCTGTGTCGAGGCCGGCGGAACGACATCGTCGCCGTTAGCGGAACAGCCGTCCGCCTCGGCTCAGGCCCGGGTGACCTACGCCCGGGTGGCCTACGCCCGGCTGACCTACGCCCGAATTGCCTACTCCATCGAATGTCTACGCCCGGGTGACCTACGCCCGGCTGACCTACGCCCGAATCGCCTACTTCATCGAATGTCTACGCCCGGGTGACCTACGCCCGGCTGACCTACGCCCGAATCGCCTACCCCATCGAATGTCTACGCCCGGGTGACCTACGCCCGGCTAACCTACGCCCGAATCGCCTACTCCATCGAATGTCTACGCCCGGCTGACCTACGCCCGGCTGACCTACGCCCGAATCGCCTACTCCATCGAATGTCTACGCCCGGCTGACCTACGCCCGGCTGACCTACGCCCGAATAGCCTACTCCATCGAATGTCTACGCCCGGCTGACCTACGCCCGGCTAACCTACGCCCGAATCGCCTACTCCATCGAATGTCTACGCCCGGCTGACCTACGCCCGGCTGACCTACTCCATCGAATGTCTACTGCTCCCCTCCTGTCCGATTAAAGAGTGAAGATTTCGCATACCAAAGTGACCCTTCCGGGGGAACCGGCACCCGCAAGTCAGGTAACAATGGGAAGGGTCGGAGGGACCGACCGCCGCGCCGCATGGTGACAGGTGATTCCCGGGACGTCCGAGCGTCGCCTTTCAGACGCATCGCCGCCTCCCCCCCCCCCCCCGCCGCGCCGTGCCGCGCCGCACAAAACAGACGGACCCTGTCGCGGAGCGAACTACCCGACCAGGCTGTCATCATCGGCGGAGAGCCTGAACTGCTTTTTTTTTAATCGTTGAGCTGATCAAGCTTGAGTAGCCATGCTTGCGTATTTCACGCTTCAGCCCTGCTGTGAGCCATGTTTTATGATTTCTCATTTCAGATCTTAACAATGATCTTAGGTAGGAAGAACCGTGAGAAACGCCCCTCCCCCTTAGCCCTCGCCGGTATAAGGGGGGGGGGGTCGAACAGCCCCCTCTCGGTTTTCGATAATAACTCGTGTAAAAACTCGCTGATCGCGACGGAACTTTCATTACCATCGCGTTCATCAATTTTACACCTACCCTAACAATTTCATGACCCTGACGCAAATGACCTTTGACCTGTGACCTACTTTTCGAGACCATGTTTGGCCGGAATCGCGATTTGGCGTATATGTCGTCTCCTCTTAGCCGCGCGTTTGCACTCTTTTCGTAGTTTCAAGCGTTCAAACATGTGATATGATATTGCTCCTATGCGTTAGGGTGGGTGTCTAGTTCACTTGAAGCTCAGGACAGGTCACTGACCTTAAATAAGCTCGGTTAAATTTTACATGTTTCTAGGCTAGTTTTTTTTTTTAGCTTAATTCGAATTTAGCAACCATATGAGCATTTACGAAGTAGTTTTGGTGCCATCGTAACATGTTACGAAGCTGTCAGAGGCGGTTGACACCTACTACGAATACCCGGCAAAACCACTACTGGTTGACCTGAACTGACCTGATCCGACCTGGCCTAAAAGCATGAAGACATCATCTGTGATAAAAACTAACATGATATTCGTGATCAGAACCCCGAATAACCTCGTAGCAGCCACACTTTACGACCCAACTGGTCTCGATTTTTCCGACTTTTGGGCCAATGACCTGGCTTGAAAGGTCAACCAATGACCTAGGACCTTAAAATTGGGTATCATCGGCTTCCTCTTGTCACGGGAAACACGCTCGTTTTTTCGCGAAGCTCTAGCTCCATCAGGGGTGAGACGGCAAGGGGGGTCCAACGGACTTCCCCCGCCCTTATACGTTTGCGGCTGTCAAAACACCAATACTGGCGAGGGGAAGTGTGTCACCGCTAGACTAGTTATTTGACCATATACTATTAGGTATTTATCTATATTTATTTATTTACGATCTCAAGCCTCCACGTGGTAGGTTTTAAAGCTTACGTCATTGCGCAGTATGTCTTAAAAGTACCGCGCAAAGTAACAGTGGATCCATCAAGCCTGACCGAGGAAGGACTGCTAGTCACCGAAACAATGGATATCCTCGTCCATTCCCCAGGTCAATTGGTTCGGTGACTTTCAAATTATAGCAGGCCCTTCCTCGGTCAGGGTTGATGGATCCACCGTCACTTTGCGCGGTACTTTTAACCCTCGCCCTGGCAGGGCATTTTTCATAACACGGCCTGGCAGGGCGGGGGGGGGGGGGGGTCGATGCGACCCCCCTCGCGATTGGCTCCTATGGCACCTAGAAACACCAAATTTCGTAGGTAGGTGAGCCCCCTGGATTTCTCACCCCTGTGCAAATTTGGCTGCTCTAGGTCAATATTTAGGGAGTTTTTGGGGGATATAAATGTAAAAATTTCGCTAAAATAGGTCAAATGTTTTTCGCTTATAACTTTTGATCAAAGATAGAGCAAAAAGAAAAGCAGACTGTACATAGGTACATTGGAGTGTTATGCATACATACATAGGTACAAACCATGGCCACAAGTTCATCGGTGCAAAACTCACAGCCTATATAACGCACTATGCCATATACTATTTTAAAGACCTTAGGCCTCTTGCACCAAACTACCTAGCTAGGTAAAATCGAAAAACCGGTTTCAGAATAAGCTAATCAAACGGTGGTAAATTTGTTTGCAATAGCCCAATACATAATCCTACAGGTGCTTGGTAAATTTTATACGCAAATTGTCACATTTGAGTCTTGGATTGTGTATACGATGCAAAATAATCCAAGCATTGGTGCAAGAGGATTTTGGTGCAAGAGGCCTCTTATCTTTCAACCATTCAACAAAATAATGCATAAAGCACTGGTATGCTGCATTCCAGCGTGATTGAGCTTTTCCAAGGCATTTCAAAACGGGGTGTTTTATCCAGAATTGGAGGATCAAAAGCATGCGAAAGCATGTAGTATTACGGGTATGGTAAGACGCTATACTTTGGTTGTCACCTGATTATGAGTTTCGTTTGCATAGAAAATGCATTTAACCCTCGCCGGCCGATGGGGGGACGGCGGGTGCCGCCCCCCCCCCCCTAGGGTTTTTTCCGCGATAGCTCCTAACACACTGGCGATAGAAAGCTGAAACTTGGCATACCTAACCTTTGATTCAAGCCGGACCTTTTGACACCAACGGCATTTTCGAGTCAGGTCAGGTCACTGACCTATGACGTTATAAGTGAACCTCTGCACGGTCTTCAGATGTCGCAACTTCACAACGCCCTCCCAGAGGAAACTCACAGGGAAATGAAACTTGCAGGATCAAGTATCCATAACGAGTCTCACAACTTGTATATCTCGGATTTTTCCTAAAGGTCATATGAGGTCAGGTCATTTTCGTGACCTCACCATTAAAAGTCAATGGGGAAAAATGAAAACTGCTATTCTGGCGCCGGGAACGATCTCCAACTATCTCAAGCACACAGAATCGTGATTTGATGTACTCCTTGCAAGGTTACATGCGTCACTTTTGCAATGTTGACCTTGCGTGACGTCATTTACAACGTCATCAAGGTCATTTTAGTTTTTCGTCAATCACTCCCGATCAAATTGAGCTAGCGAGCCAGGAAAGCTACCAATGAACTCAGGAAGACCTGCCGAATCGAATGATATGCGACATGACCTCTTTCGACCAGCTTCGTGACCTGGGGGTGCTAATTTTACACCTATCCTTAAAATTTCATGACCCTGACCCTAATGGCCTTTGACCTGTGACCTACTACCTTCGAGACCATGTTTGGCCGGAATCGCGATTCAGCGCATGTCGGCTCGCATCAGCCGCGTGTTTGCAGTCTTTTCGTGGTTTCAAGCGTTCAAACATGGGATATGATGTTGCTCCCATGCATTAGGGTGGGTGTCAAGATCACCGGGAGGTCAGGTCAGGTCATTTACCTTTGATGACCTCGGTTTTCTTTTTTGGAGTTTTACATGTCTCTAGGCTAGTTTTTGGATCAGAATTCGAATTTAGCAACCATTTGAACATTTACGAAGTAATTTTGGTGCATTCGTAACATGTTACGAATGCATTCGTAACATGTTACGAAGCTGTCAGAGGCGGTTGCCACCTACTACGAATACCCGGCAAAACCCTTACTGGTTGACCTGACCTGACCTGACCTGACCCGACCTGGCCTAAATGCATGAAGACATTATCTATGATCATTATTAACCCTCGCCCGCACATGGGGGGGGGGGGGTCCCCAGGTAGTCTTTCTGCTCTGCACTCAACATTTTTAGAGCTAGAGAGGTGATTTTTGGTATAGCTGCTCGTCTATCCTTTCTTGATGTCCACTGAAAGTTTCAAGTTTCTGTGATTTTTGGTTTCGGAGATATGACCTTGTTTGTCAGGTCATGTCATGACCCAAATGGCCAATTCTCAACATGTTGCGTTTGCCATGGGCCTTGTGAGCTTTTGACACCTTGATTTCGGCCTTTTTTGCCAGTCTTACCTCCCACCTATCATGGAACATGTTGTTCGACGATGTACAGGGGTCAAGGTCAGGGTCAAGGTCAACCTAGGTCATCTAAGATAATTGCGTTTTAGGCAAGCTGAATTTACTTTTTGTGAAGTTTTTTGCCTGCATTTCTGGTAAAAGCTTCTCAGATCATGATTTCATGTAATATGGACACAAAAACAATCGGTGCACACATCAGTATACACACAGACACACACAGACATACAAACACATATAACTGACCTTGACCTAACTTGACCTGAAATGACCTCAACAGCAAAAATCTGGTCGGGTAGTGTGACAAAGAGGTTCTAGCTGGCTTGGCACCAGAAAACGGCATCGTCATCGGTATATGATAAGCAGCGCACTTGATATCCAACGGTGACCCAAAACAGCAACATTTTTTAGTTTGACCTGACCTGGAAGGTCAATGACTGACCTGAGAAGGTAAAATCGGGTATCATTGGATTCGTCTCTTCCCAAAGAATCTTTTTGGTCTTTACCGCTAAGCTCTATCTCCAACAGGAACGAAACGGCGCGGGGGGGTGGCAACCCCCCCCCCCCCCATGTGCGTTCTAGGATGGGAAAATGGCATGTGCGGGCGAGGGTTAACATGATATTCGTGATCATCACCCCGAAAAAAGAAGCCTATAGCAGCCACCTTTACGACGTTCTAACATGTCCCGCTTTTCCCGACTTTTGGCCTTTGACCTGACCTGGAAGGTTAGCCGATGACCAAGGACCTTAAAATTGGGTATCATCGGCTTTCTCTCGTCACGGGCAGCACGCTCGTTTTTTTCTGCGGAGGTCTAGCTTGATAAGGGGCGAAACGGCAAGGGGGGGCAACAGACTCCTGCCCCCTATACGTTCGTGGCTGGAAAAACACCAATACGGGCGAGGGTTAAGAGTGTGTCCTTTAATAACCCGCGCCCTGATGGGGGGCCATTTTGGCCCCCACCCTGTGGTTTTTCTTTAATAGCGAGAAAATGGCGGCACGCAGCGCAGCCAAATTTTGGGTACCTTACCGGGCATCAATTCGACACCTTCACACAAAATTTCAAGTCACAGGTCACCTCAGGTCAGGAGTTATTGAGGTCAAACTGAAGTCATGTTCGAGTGAAAATGAGCAAAAACATGACATCTTGAAACGCTCACCAATTCTACAGTTAATAAGCAATTTTAAAGTTCTTTATGTGGTTGTGTAGAGAAAAGACGGCGCTACAAAACTGCTATCTCGGAATTTCAAAATTTTGGGATTTTGACCCCCAAAAATAAAAAAATATTTTTTTTTTAGAAAAACTCAAAAAATTTCCAAAATTTTTTCGAATTTCGAAAAAACCGGAATATATGTGATAGTCCCTGCGCTCTTCGATATACATACCAAATTTAAGATCGATACCTCTTTTTTGGCCAAGTTATAGCGAAAAAACTGTTAAAAATTGATGACGTCAAATTTTTGAACTCAATTTTTAGCAATTCTAGACCTTTTAGCGCAAAAAAGAGACCACCATTGAACTCCCCGTGACGAGCTGCATCGAATTGGTACCCATTTTATGCAAAAATATCAACTTTGAAATTTGACCTAATTTGACCTGACCTTGATCTGACCTTGACTTGACCTTGACCAAAACGTGACCTAAGCTGGCCTTAAAGTCTGCCTGATCCACATAATCGCATTTGTCATGTAAAATGGACCATGAAACATGTATCACACGACACTTTCATATTGTGACCCCCAGTGACCTGACCTCTGTGACCTGACCTGGTATCAGTGACCTCAAATAGCAAAATATGTGTTTGAAGAACATTTCCCCATCGATGATTGTCAATGAAATGCATTTTACTCGATTTTACAACGCATTTCTTGAAATGCCTGTAAACGGTGAAAATTCGACCTTTGACCTGACCTGTGACGTCATCGGTTTGTACGAGGTCAATGAAATTAGGTCACAAGGTAGTTCCCCGTTGGGGCTATCCAACGCCGTTTACCGCTTGTCGCTATGTTGCGTGGTTCTCGAGATCTTAGGGGGGCCAAAATGCCCCCCCCCCATCAGAACGCGTTGCTAGGCAGACCCCATCAGGGCGCGGGTTAACACAAAAGCTATTGTGTATTTGTGTTATTGTGTATTATTGGGTTTCTGAACCTGTTGATGGTATGCAATAAAAACAAAATAAATACAAGTGTAGAAGGTAACGGTTGTGGGAATGGTAGGTCGTTACAGGTCTCGCGGGTTTAGCGGTAGGTTTTGCACCTAGAAAATTTAGTGTACTTCAGGCTATATCTTCGTCGTCTTAAGCTTTTAAGTGTTGAAGATGCGATCGACTTGTTGGGTAACAAGCCGGCCACGATCGTGTAAAATTACTTCATTGTAGATCGATTAGTTTCTGAGATATAACCGGAAATGTAAAAGTGCCAAACCTACCGCTTAATCTCGCGAGACCTGTACAAATAAAGGCTTGCATAGTATTGACGGTATTGACGATATTTCGGAAAGTTTGGGCCCCCATCTTGTTTGGGCCCTTTTTCTGAAAACCTGCCCCCGCAAGGCGAAATCCGTGGCGCCGTCCCTGGTGCTGGGGGGGGGGGGGGATCCTGGTCGGCCTGTCCATTCGGACGGGCTAAGCCCCGGCGACTCTAGGCCCTAGGGTGTCTGCCCAGACAAATGTCTCCCCCTAATTCCTATCATTCTTCCGGCTCTGAAATGGTCTTGTCAGACCGAAAGGGCCTAACCTAACAAAACAAAAACAAGCAAGCAGCGTGCGCCAGTCGCAGCTGGGCTGGCTGTGCAGCGCCGGCTCTCGATGACACGTCTATGGCCGAGTGGGAATGGGCGTGAATTGGTGCGTGTGCCTGTAGGGGAAGGTGGGGTAAGACGGCCCAGCGGGGCAAGACGGACCACCAGCCCTCCCGGCTGAGCCGCTGCTGGTATCTACTGCTTTATGCACTCACTATGTTTGTTTTCCTTCGTAACAATGGCCACCTTGAGCTCATGCTGCTGCATAGCTTTTGAGTTATTGAGAAAAATGTTGTTTTTCGTCAAACCGATCTAATATAAGAGGTCTACGGGTGATTTAATTACGGCGCCTTTCTTGCATGATTAGTTTCTATTTTGCACTTAACTGTGAAGAACAAAGTTATAAACTTAGTTATAGTCACACTTTAGGAAAGGCAAGGTTTTGCAATGTTGGGCTATTTGACATATACGTCATGATAATGACAGAATTTAGATTTGGGGCAAGACGGACCACTGTGGTCCATCTTACCCTGTGGTGGTCCATTGTACCCTGCATATGGAAAGTTCTTTTCCAAAACATTGACACAAGTTTAAGTAAACTAATTTTTCAGGAAGGAGTCTTTGTTGCATGTGAGCCATGCATGCAAGTGCTCAGTTGGCATGCATTCATGCCAAACGACAATCAACACACATGTTCCCAGCTTTTAGCTGCACTTCCATCACACATGATCATGTGTTCTTTACTCATATGAGTAAAGAATAAAGGCGCATTTTGTTATTTTACCATTCTGGTTACTTTTCCTTACAAGAGTACAGAGCAGAAGTGTAACACACATGAACGGATAGCAGGCACTGCTGGGTGGTCCGTCTTACCCCACGTTTTTTCTTGTCTGAGTTTTTGACATGTCCCTCTTTAAGAGCATCCACCACCTAGATGTCTTTAATTTGAAATTTAGTCTTTACACATATCAACAGAGGAAGGATTGAGCATTCCGAAGACTATAAATAATATGAATTACGAGAGCAGTGTAGCAAGATATGCGGCCTCAAACCTTAGCTGGTCCGTCTTACCCCACCTTCCCCTACTATAGCATAAGTGACCAATCTGAGCTGTTTCTACTTTGATATATTGAGCCTGACTCTGGAATAGCCACACTTGAGTGGAACGGATCTAATTGGGACGTGAACTGAATAAATGTATGACTATGACTAAGCAAGTATGAGTAAGCACACAAAATGCAACATAAATCGGTTTCTTGGTTGGTGATATCACGAAAACGTGTTGGCAATAGTCTAATTATGTTACAAAAATGCGTGATAAAATTACTCAAATTAATTTGAAAATTCATAGATGGCGTCAGGGTACCGAAGTTGGCAGGTGAAATCGATCTCCCTTTCTTTTCCGGGGTCCACCTATGATCCACCTGGCACCTCTTGTTCACTTGTGAACCTACAAAAAATGTTCATTTCAATCGCTATTGCATTTGTTATTTTACACACTTAACGTCATGATCTGAGTAGAAAATATTCGCTGTGTGTAATTACTTTCCAATACCTTCCAACATTCACTGGACGCGCCTAGATATTTTTTTAATGTATAGCTTGCAAGTGTTCCAGAACTTAACTGAATTGAGTCACTCCAGGACAATCTAACTATTACCAAGCCGTTCATCAAATGCTACGTTGCATATCAATATCACACCCCTTTTTTGGACGCCTAGATCGTGCTATTATAACCCTCGCCCTGGCAGGGCATTTTTCGTAACGCGGCCTGGGGGGGGGGGGTGATCCGACCTCCTGGCATTTCGAAACTAAACGTCGTAGCGCTTCCCAACAAAGACAAGTCGATTGCTCTTTACGAGTATTCGCGACTGGTGATACCTATATTTTTATCCTAGGTCAATATTTGACACCGTTTTGGCTAGTCAACGATCAAATTACGGGGAAAAGCTAAAATTTTCCAAGCTATTTAGCCAATAATGGCAAATCTATGAAAGATATCAACATGAAACTTTCACGACCGTGTTTCCCAATGAATTAGCAACAAAATGATGCATAGCTCACTGCAGTTCAGTCAATACTGGCGTGACATAGTCCCCGGGAACACGAGAGTCACACCCGCCGCTGGCGAGGACGGTCCTAATTGACCTGAGGTGACCTTGTACAGATCGAGGAACAATTTTGAAAGCATTTAGATGAAGATTGAACCACAGATTCGGATTCAGGACCTCAAGAAACCCCACTAAACACAGACATGCGAGGTCAATGACCTTTGTTGACCTTAGAAATGTCAATATACAATGTAATGTTTCATGTCCTGTCAAAATCTGACATAAGTCACATAGAATAATTTCGTTCTTGTCGATGGGATCGCGTCCAGTTACGCCAGATGTACGATTTTGTCAAAAAGAGTCGGAGGTTTTACCTATTGTGAGGTTATAGCTCGGTGACCTGACATGACCCGAAAATATTTTTTACCGAAAGATTGAGCTGAAAGTTGGCAAGTAGGTAGGCACCCACTAAGCCATGCATATCCATGTGCCAGATTTGGGGTGCTGTTGCACGTGCGCACGTGCAGGGGTCGATTCCAGATCTCGAAGACGGCTGGACCGATTGCGCTCAAATTTGGTACACGGTTAGGGAGCAGTTGGTAGGGTGCCGTGCAAAAGTCAGTTGGGACCCAGTTGGCACGTGCGCACATGCAGGGTGCCGCTTCCAGATCTCGAGAACGGCTGGGCCGATTGCGCTCAAATTTGGCACATCACTAGGGACCGGTTAGTAGGTCTTGGGGTGCAGTGCACAAGTTATTTGGTGGTACCCCTCGCAATTTCGCACGTGCAAGGCCCACCCTCCCGCTCACTTCGTTGGTCGCCCCAAAAGGCGTTTTACTGGTGTGCACGATTACTTTATGAAAATGCTGAAGTGTTGCAAGTGATTGACAAATATTGTCCAAAGCATGCTGCCTTTGTCCAACCAAATTCCGATTTGGGCATAGGACAAAATCGGAATTCTGAAGGTTCAAAATCCAATTGGCACCACTCTAACAGATGTGGTAAGGTTGTGATAGGTTTTACCGAACGGAGATATAGACGATCTGCACAACTGACGAGAGAAGCCAACCTCTGTCAACTGGCTGGTGTGCAGCAAGCAGATATTGATATTCTGCAACGGTTATTTTTGTTGTTGTTTTAATCTTTCTTCAATAAGGTACCTATGTTAGAGCTGTTGTGCCTATTTGTTTATACACCAAACAACATCGGTGATAGCCAGATAACTATTTCATGGCGTGCAAAGAAAGACTGTTCAAGTTACCCAACGGTCGGGTTATTTGAATACACCGTCACTTGACGGAGAAGCAAGGCTTTACTTCACATTTTTCAAAAAATATGTTCAACTTGAAACTTGATGCACTCTATGGCAATGACTCTTGTGAAGTTGTTCTTAGGAAAATAAAAATTTATTTCATTGGCTTCCACTCGCCAAACCCGCTTTTCCTATAGCTCAATCAAGGGATGAATCACTGGGTGGTTCTTTCGACCCCTCCTCACCCTCCTGCAATTGAAGTTAGCCGTTGGCAAAGACACTAATTCGTGCAGGGGCTCATTTTCACTTGTCCTTTTAATGTAATCGGTGACTTAAGCCAGCCGGCCAAATGAACAAAAATCCATACAAACCCAGGTGATGCCACAGGCCCACGGCCCTCATCCTTGTCAGCGTCCACTCCCTCGGCGGCTTGTCAGCGTCCACTCCCTCGGCGGCGGCGGCGGCGGCGGCCCGCCGTGCCGTGCACCGCGGCATGTTACCTCTCGCCGCGTCAGGGGCCGCGGGGCGGGACGCTACCCCCCGCTGCGACAGGCGACCCCTGGGCCTGGGCACCGCCGCGGCGGGCGACGGACGACAATAGCGCAAACAAAGGATGGGGCCGCCAGTCAGCCGGCGTAGTGAATGGGTAAATCCTTACTCGATAACACAGCAGGGACTGCTCCACGAACACGGGCAGGCCGTACGGCAGTAGACATTCGATGGAATAGGCGATTCGGGCGTAGGTCAGCCGGGCGTAGGTCACCCGGGCGTAGACATTCGATGGAGTAGGCGATTCGGGCGTAGGTCAGCCGGGCGTAGGTCACCCGGGCGTAGACATTCGATGGAGTAGGCGATTCGGGCGTAGGTCAGCCGGGCGTAGGTCACCCGGGCGTAGACATTCGATGGAGTAGGCGATTCGGGCGTAGGTCAGCCGGGCGTAGGTCAGCCGGGCGTAGACATTCGATGGAGTAGGCGATTCGGGCGTAGGTTAGCCGGGCGTAGGTCAGCCGGGCGTAGACATTCGATGGAGTAGGCTATTCGGGCGTAGGTCAGCCGGGCGTAGGTCAGCCGGGCGTAGACATTCGATGGAGTAGGCGATTCGGGCGTAGGTCAGCCGGGCGTAGGTCACCCGGGCGTAGACATTCGATGGAATAGGCGATTCGGGCGTAGGTCACCCGGGCTGATCCCTCCGCCTCGACATCGTCAGCTGCGAAATAAATGGACGTCGCAAATTTTAACTGAGGTACCATTCGTAGTTGTTATTCTTTTAATATCTGGTGTATAAATATTTAGGAAAAATATAAAGAACGTCGATCTACGGGGCTCCTATGGGGCATTTAAAGTCCATTCACGGTAAGGTTCCTTCAGCTAAATTGATCCTATGGCCGATTAGACGTCGTAGGCTAAATTTAAAGGAAATCGTACGGGCGGCCCCACGTAACGTGCATTAGCGTCGGGAGACGGCGGGCTTTGCCTAGTTGGTTCCAACGATATGGTGCAACAAAATATGAATCATTAATCAACTATGTCGCTTACCTAGTGGCAGGGCAGGCAAGACGGGGTGAGAGGGACGCCTGGTGGCGGCGTCGGTCGGGCCTCGATCGAGATCCATGCCTGCGAAATACAAGTGATGGTCATTATGCGATACTGGTCCAGTGAGAGTAAAACCACACAACTAACAAGCACGCTTAAAACCATGTAAGAACATGTGAATGATTTCTGAGACACTAGCTTCAAATTTGATGAGTTGAGGGTAGAGTAGCCTGATTACGTCAAACACTGAAAATATAAATCAGTAACAGTTCAAGCGATCGCCTATCAACGATATCGCTTACCCTGTGTCGAGGCCGGCGGAACGACATCGTCGCCGTTAGCGGAACAGCCGTCCGCCTTAGCGTAACAGCCGTCCGCCTCGACATCGTCACCTGCGAAATAAACGGACGTCGCAAATTTTAACTGAGGTACCATTCGTAGTTGTTATTCTTTTAATATCTGGTGTATAAATATTTAGGAAAAATATAAAGAACGTCGATCTACGGGGCTCCTATGGGGCATTTAAAGTCCATTCACGGTAAGGTTCCTTCAGCTAAATTGATCCTATGGCCGATTAGACGTCGTAGGCTAAATTTAAAGGAAATCGTACGGGCGGCCCCACGCAACGTGCATTGGCGTCGGGAGACGGCGGGCTTTGCCTAGTTGATTCTAACGATATGGTGCAACAAAATATGAATCATTAATCAACTATGTCGCTTACCCAGTGGCAGGGCAGGCAAGACGGGGTGAGAGGGACGCCTCGTGGCGGCGTCGGTCGGGCCTCGATCGAGATCCATGCCTGCGAAATACAAGTGATGGTCATTATGCGATACTGGTCCAGTGAGAGTAAAACCACACAACTAACAAGCACGCTTAAAACCATGTAAGAACATGTGAATGATTTCTGAGACACTAGCTTCAAATTTGATGAGTTGAGGGTAGAGTAGCCTGATTACGTCAAACACTGAAAATATAAATCAGTAACAGTTCAAGCGATCGCCTATCAACGATATCGCTTACCCTGTGTCGAGGCCGGCGGAACGACATCGTCGCCGTTAGCGGAGCAGCCGTCCGCCTCGACATCGTCACCTGCGAAATAAACGGACGTCGCAAATTTTAACTGAGGTACCATTCGTAGTTGTTATTCTTTTAATATCTGGTGTATAAATATTTAGGAAAAATATAAAGAACGTCGATCTACGGGGCTCCTATGGGGCATTTAAAGTCCATTCACGGTAAGGTTCCTTCAGCTAAATTGATCCTATGGCCGATTAGACGTCGTAGGCTAAATTTAAAGGAAATCGTACGGGCGGCCCCACGCAACGTGCATTGGCGTCGGGAGACGGCGGGCTTTGCCTAGTTGATTCTAACGATATGGTGCAACAAAATATGAATCATTAATCAACTATGTCGCTTACCCAGTGGCAGGGCAGGCAAGACGGGGTGAGAGGGACGCCTCGTGGCGGCGTCGGTCGGGCCTCGATCGAGATCCATGCCTGCGAAATACAAGTGATGGTCATTATGCGATACTGGTCCAGTGAGAGTAAAACCACACAACTAACAAGCACGCTTAAAACCATGTAAGAACATGTGAATGATTTCTGAGACACTAGCTTCAAATTTGATGAGTTGAGGGTAGAGTAGCCTGATTACGTCAAACACTGAAAATATAAATCAGTAACAGTTCAAGCGATCGCCTATCAACGATATCGCTTACCCTGTGTCGAGGCCGGCGGAACGACATCGTCGCCGTTAGCGGAGCAGCCGTCCGCCTCGACATCGTCACCTGCGAAATAAACGGACGTCGCAAATTTTAACTGAGGTACCATTCGTAGTTGTTATTCTTTTAATATCTGGTGTATAAATATTTAGGAAAAATATAAAGAACGTCGATCTACGGGGCTCCTATGGGGCATTTAAAGTCCATTCACGGTAAGGTTCCTTCAGCTAAATTGATCCTATGGCCGATTAGACGTCGTAGGCTAAATTTAAAGGAAATCGTACGGGCGGCCCCACGTAACGTGCATTAGCGTCGGGAGACGGCGGGCTTTGCCTAGTTGGTTCCAACGATATGGTGCAACAAAATATGAATCATTAATCAACTATGTCGCTTACCCAGTGGCAGGGCAGGCAAGACGGGGTGAGATGGACGCCTCGTGGCGGTGTCGGTCGGGCCTCGATCGAGATCCATGCCTGCGAAATACAAGTGATGGTCATTATGCGATACTGGTCCAGTGAGAGTAAAACCACACAACTAACAAGCACGCTTAAAACCATGTAAGAACATGTGAATGATTTCTGAGACACTAGCTTCAAATTTGATGAGTTGAGGGTAGAGTAGCCTGATTACGTCAAACACTGAAAATATAAATCAGTAACAGTTCAAGCGATCGCCTATCAACGATATCGCTTACCCTGTGTCGAGGCCGGCGGAACGACATCGTCGCCGTTAGCGGAACAGCCGTCCGCCTTAGCGGAACAGCCGTCCGCCTTAGCGGAACAGCCGTCCGCCTCGACATCGTCACCTGCGAAATAAACGGACGTCGCAAATTTTAACTGAGGTACCATTCGTAGTTGTTATTCTTTTAATATCTGGTGTATAAATATTTAGGAAAAATATAAAGAACGTCGATCTACGGGGCTCCTATGGGGCATTTAAAGTCCATTCACGGTAAGGTTCCTTCAGCTAAATTGATCCTATGGCCGATTAGACGTCGTAGGCTAAATTTAAAGGAAATCGTACGGGCGGCCCCACGCAACGTGCATTGGCGTCGGGAGACGGCGGGCTTTGCCTAGTTGATTCTAACGATATGGTGCAACAAAATATGAATCATTAATCAACTATGTCGCTTACCCAGTGGCAGGGCAGGCAAGACGGGGTGAGAGGGACGCCTCGTGGCGGCGTCGGTCGGGCCTCGATCGAGATCCATGCCTGCGAAATACAAGTGATGGTCATTATGCGATACTGGTCCAGTGAGAGTAAAACCACACAACTAACAAGCACGCTTAAAACCATGTAAGAACATGTGAATGATTTCTGAGACACTAGCTTCAAATTTGATGAGTTGAGGGTAGAGTAGCCTGATTACGTCAAACACTGAAAATATAAATCAGTAACAGTTCAAGCGATCGCCTATCAACGATATCGCTTACCCTGTGTCGAGGCCGGCGGAACGACATCGTCGCCGTTAGCGGAACAGCCGTCCGCCTTAGCGGAACAGCCGTCCGCCTCGACATCGTCACCTGCGAAATAAACGGACGTCGCAAATTTTAACTGAGGTACCATTCGTAGTTGTTATTCTTTTAATATCTGGTGTATAAATATTTAGGAAAAATATAAAGAACGTCGATCTACGGGGCTCCTATGGGGCATTTAAAGTCCATTCACGGTAAGGTTCCTTCAGCTAAATTGATCCTATGGCCGATTAGACGTCGTGGGCTAAATTTAAAGGAAATCGTACGGGCGGCCCCACGCAACGTGCATTGGCGTCGGGAGACGGCGGGCTTTGCCTAGTTGATTCTAACGATACGGTGCAACAAAATATGAATCTTTAATCAACTATGTCGCTTACCCAGTGGCAGGGCAGGCAAGACGGGGTGAGAGGGACGCCTCGTGGCGGCGTCGGTCGGGCCTCGATCGAGATCCATGCCTGCGAAATACAAGTGATGGTCATTATGCGATACTGGTCCAGTGAGAGTAAAACCACACAACTAAAAAGTACGCTCAAAACCATGTAAGAACATGTGAATGATTTCTGAGACACTAGCTTCAAATTTGATGAGTTGAGGGTAGAGTAGCCTGATTACGTCAAACACTGAAAATGTAAATCAGTAACAGTTCAAGCGATCGCCTATCAACGATATCGCTTACCCTGTGTCGAGGCCGGCGGAACGACATCGTCGCCGTTAGCGGAACAGCCGTCCGCCTTAGCGGAACAGCCGTCCGCCTCGACATCGTCACCTGCGAAATAAACGGACGTCGCAAATTTTAACTGAGGTACCATTCGTAGTTGTTATTCTTTTAATATCTGGTGTATAAATATTTAGGAAAAATATAAAGAACGTCGATCTACGGGGCTCCTATGGGGCATTTAAAGTCCATTCACGGTAAGGTTCCTTCAGCTAAATTGATCCTATGGCCGATTAGACGTCGTAGGCTAAATTTAAAGGAAATCGTACGGGCGGCCCCACGTAACGTGCATTAGCGTCGGGAGACGGCGGGCTTTGCCTAGTTGGTTCCAACGATATGGTGCAACAAAATATGAATCATTAATCAACTATGTCGCTTACCTAGTGGCAGGGCAGGCAAGACGGGGTGAGATGGACGCCTGGTGGCGGCGTCGGTCGGGCCTCGATCGAGATCCATGCCTGCGAAATACAAGTGATGGTCATTATGCGATACTGGTCCAGTGAGAGTAAAACCACACAACTAACAAGCACGCTTAAAACCATGTAAGAACATGTGAATGATTTCTGAGACACTAGCTTCAAATTTGATGAGTTGAGGGTAGAGTAGCCTGATTACGTCAAACACTGAAAATATAAATCAGTAACAGTTCAAGCGATCGCCTATCAACGATATCGCTTACCCTGTGTCGAGGCCGGCGGAACGACATCGTCGCCGTTAGCGGAACAGCCGTCCGTCTTAGCGGAACAGCCGTCCGCCTTAGCGGAACAGCCGTCCGCCTCGACATCGTCACCTGCGAAATAAACGGACGTCGCAAATTTTAACTGAGGTACCATTCGTAGTTGTTATTCTTTTAATATCTGGTGTATAAATATTTAGGAAAAATATAAAGAACGTCGATCTACGGGGCTCCTATGGGGCATTTAAAGTCCATTCACGGTAAGGTTCCTTCAGCTAAATTGATCCTATGGCCGATTAGACGTCGTAGGCTAAATTTAAAGGAAATCGTACGGGCGGCCCCACGCAACGTGCATTGGCGTCGGGAGACGGCGGGCTTTGCCTAGTTGATTCTAACGATATGGTGCAACAAAATATGAATCATTAATCAACTATGTCGCTTACCCAGTGGCAGGGCAGGCAAGACGGGGTGAGAGGGACGCCTCGTGGCGGCGTCGGTCGGGCCTCGATCGAGATCCATGCCTGCGAAATACAAGTGATGGTCATTATGCGATACTGGTCCAGTGAGAGTAAAACCACACAACTAACAAGCACGCTTAAAACCATGTAAGAACATGTGAATGATTTCTGAGACACTAGCTTCAAATTTGATGAGTTGAGGGTAGAGTAGCCTGATTACGTCAAACACTGAAAATATAAATCAGTAACAGTTCAAGCGATCGCCTATCAACGATATCGCTTACCCTGTGTCGAGGCCGGCGGAACGACATCGTCGCCGTTAGCGGAGCCACCGCCCAGTTCGACATCGTCTCCTGGAAAAAATGGACGTTTACTTATCGATTTATTTATTTATTCATTCCTCGCTCCAACAGTTCATTCCACCCCATTACTGGAGGGCTCCTACTCCGCCTCAGGGCTATGGCTCATGCAGTAGCCCACCCCGCTTCTGAGGGTCACAGGCCGGGACGCCGGTCCGGGCGGCACTGGGAATCGAACCCAGGTCCTCCCGACCCCTAAACGGCTCCAACCTTCTGCGCTACCACGTTGGAAACGTATTGTGATATATTCGTTGACGCTAGGACCAATTTGAAGCAAAACTATGGAATGGATTATGGGGACCACGTACAACCCTTGACTTAGAGCAGTTTCAGAGAAATGGTGAACGTTGGGTGCCGCAGGATTCATGCTTTCGGGGAAACCGTCAGGTGGCAAACGGCACCTAGCCGTCTCTCCCCATACACGCATACACACACATTCCGGTGCCGGTATGAACAGGAAACTTACCTCGAAGGAAAGCGGCGATCAATGTAGGATTGAGGTTCCTCTCGGGTTCCCACGTCCTCTCGCTGACAAGGAAAGAAATTGATGAATGATATGAAATGGCTCACAACAACAGCTAGTATGTTAAATGGCATTTCTAAGACGAGTGTCTCGGTTAAAAGAGTTGTAGAGCAGAGAAAAGAATGGGTTTGGTGATGCTGCTGGCATTGTGCATTTGGTAAGGGGCCTTGAAGTGGCCTTTCCTATACGCCGAGATACATAGGGCGAATGAAAAGTTTTGAGCCTAACATAGTTACAGGTGACGCAGATAAATGAAACTTTAGTCACATATTTTGCCACTATTTATATGGGTGGACACCAAATTGTGAAGTCCTATCACTTTTTTTCCTCACTTTTTAAGCGCCTTGAATAATGTTATTTTGGGTAAGTGCTCCCGGTGTCAATGACGTCATTATTTTTTGTGAAGCGTCATCCAGTCAGTTTTTTCTTTAGGTTTAGAGAGAAATAGACACCCTAAGAATGCCAATGCTGGTGAAAAGATTTAATTTGGGATAAATTGGAAGGTTCAGTAAGTGATTTTTTACATTGCAACCAGTGAAAAATATCCCGACGCATTGCTCTGGTGAAACATGGCCAATTTTGTCAGCATTGTAGTTCTGATATTCCTGATTTTCTAGCAAAGGTGCATCAGTGGGTCATCCTAGTAATGTCCAATTACAGTAAGACCCTTTGAAAGGAAGTGCAATTGCAAGACATATCATTTATTTCCCCAATTACTGAACACTTCCCTCCTTGTTGTGACTCTGACATTCAATTTTTCAGATTAGAGTAGAGACGTGCTTTCACTGACTCCACTGTTCTTCCGATTCTGGATTGAAGTGAAACACCCACAGTTTATCAACGGTAGCGAAAAGTGACTTTAAATTCTCAGAATCTGCTTCAACTAGCGCCAGATGTCAGTACACGTGTCTCGTCGTGCTCTGCAGTAAAAAGCCGAGAGGCCCAATGGCAGAGACCTTTCTCATGTCATACCCTTTGGTAAGAATGTCGCCAGCTTGCTCCTGGGAGATGTCCATTCTTACCGCTATCTGATTAGGTCACAGTCTTGGATCCAGCATCCCCACCCCTAGAGCAGGATCAGTGTTTTCGGATTTTGTCACATTCTAGGGCATTTTTATATTTGTTCATCTTGGACGCTGTTCCTGCCTTGCTTGAAATTAGCAGCTCAAACCATAACAGTGCCATATGATGGGCCACAACCAATAAGTTTATATACTTCTTAATTTCAGATGAAGGCATGCCTTTCAGATCGCAATACTTTATAAAAGCTCGGTTCTCGATTTTCTCCCTTTTCACCGAACGCGGAATCTTCTTCACTTTAACGGGCTCTAAAAACGAAACAAAAAGGAATAGGATTTCAAAACTTGGTGTACACACATAAAAATAGTGGCAAAATATGTGACCAAATTTTCATTAACCTGCGTCACCTGTAACTGTGTTAGGCTCAAAACTTTTCATTCACCCCACGTATCCCTTTAGCATTATCCTAACCATGCAGGAAACATTGCACGTGATCTTTCCTGCACTGTTTTCCAGCGCGGGTTGATGACCTACAGTTCTGGTGATTTTATAATAAAATTATTTTTAAAAGGTGACGTAAATAATAAAATGGCGAGTTTGTGAATGGATAGCGGAACGACGTATAGAAAATATCTTACTGAAGTTGCTCTGGAAGAAAAATGGAAACCTCGGCCTTCAAACAATATCCAGCAATTGGCTACGCCTCGTGCCTACAATTTTTTAAAGACCTCGGTTTCCATTTTTCTTTCCCAGAGCCGTTCAGTAATATATATTCTCGCATTTACACCACATTTGATGAGAATCTTATTGACTCTAAAATAAAGAGCAAACGTAGCAATCGTTATGAAACAAGTGAATACCAGGATAAGATGCAACTAACTTATACACCTTTGTGCACAAAGTTAACGTCTGTTTCAACTTCATCCCAACTTACTTGAAACCTTGCCATTTTATGAGGAACAGTTTGCTTTTTTCATCGTAGGACAGAATCCTTTCGACGAAAAAATATTCCTGAAAAAGGACAAATATTAACAGAACTCAGGCATATCCCATTATTGACGAGCAATTGTCGGTTCGCTGAAACTGAAAGCACGGAATTGACAAAGGAAACTAAATAAAAAGGAAAGCCAGCAGAAACCAGCGACTACACTTTCAAAACACGCCCAGCTGAGCATGAACAAGAGGCGCATCGGCTACAACTGTGCAGATTCAACACACACAATGACAATTAACCCGACTCATATCACTGCAAAATTTCAAACTATTTACTTACCTCAATACTACGCTTCTTCTTCTTTGGACGTGTAAATGCACTTCGTTTACGTTTCATGGCTCTGGAACATATGGCAAATAAAAAAGAAAACATTTATTGAATGGCAACTAATTTCAACAGCACCCCTACACTACCTGTTACATTACTACCTGTAATGTAACTAGGTACCTGGGTACGGAGTAGTCATTTATTACCGTTATCAATGTCTAAAAATTAGTCCTAAAATTTGAAAATGGGGGTCAAAAACACATTTTCAGATGAATTTCGAGATCCACATGCATTCAATTTTTTACACCCAGTGCACCTCTGGAGTGCCCATGGCATCAGAGTGAGGCTACGATGTGATTGCTCCCCCCCCCCCGCAAATGAAAAGTGGGAGGGCATTTCCATCCCCCTGTTTCTACGCGTATACACTTGTTTTTCTCTCGTCGCGACGAATCGGGGCATATTCCAATTTAGCTGAAAACGTCACATTCAAAATGTGATTTCTGATTGATGTGATGAAATGTGATATTTGATTTCACTTTATCAGTTCTAAGCAATAAATTGGCAGCTTATATCACTTGAAGTACCTTGCAATAATGTCAAACCTCACCAAATCAGAGTCTGCATTAAATTGTGTAACACTGACATGATGGAGGGTTCGTAATTCGTATGCTCACCAAAAATAGAAAATTTCTGAACAGAAGCAACATACTTCAACCAAGCTCTCAAATTTAGCATGCACCTAAAAACAAAGCATGCAAAATGGACTGGACAGTTGAAATAGCATTTAATACTGAAGCAATGAACTTTTCAATAGGTAGTTCCGAACTGTGGATCCACCCATGGGCTCCGCCACCAGGGGGGACGGGGGACGTGACCCCCCCCAATATTTTTCATTTTTAACATTACGCCTATGGGTGCTGCATGGAAAGAATTGACTTCGAACGGCCTTTGCACCCCCAACCATCGGGTCGTGATGGAGCCCTTGGATCCACCTCACTTGAATTTTACTTTTCAGCCATGCTGCCCACTTTCCCCAGTGCCAAAGTTGGAGTTCTTCAACCGAATAGGCAGACCAGCATGCTTCAAATTCAGATGCCTTTTCAGATTCCTTTGTTCACCATTGAACTTGCACCCCTCATAACCACATTGCACCTTTTTTGGGAGGCAATAGACGAACGAGTCATTGTAAGTAGTAAGTACCTACTCTAAGCCACACTGATAATTTGAACCAAGCCTTTAACAGATCGAAATCTATAAACTTATACGTTAACTCACAGTACTTAAACAAGAATCCCAATCAAAAGTCAATTAATTTATTTGTGGGGAGCGCCTCAGACGGTGCTGAGTCCCCACAGTGTCCCAAAATTATATTTTTGCTTGGGTGTCGGAGGGGAATATTTGTCACTACAAAGAAGGCTGGGAGTGGAAAATTACTAGTCAGAACGGTACAAAAAGAGCGGAAAACAGGGATCATTAATTTGTTTGTGAATGTTGGAGGATGTGGGAGCTGCTTTATAAGATAATTGAATCGAATGTGGAGGGAGGTAAAAGGTACATGCAGATGCTCTATTGGTAAAATAGGGAGTAAAAAATTGCTCAGGATAATTGCAGGTGAGTGAAAAATTATTTTGATTTGGATGTCACTTCCCACCCAAACTGGCAAACTTTGGGACACTGAGTCCCCAGGCCCAGCATGTTGGGATATTAATTCGTGGGTGTTCTTGAAAATACAAAAATAAGTGGAAAATGAGTGGCCGGTCAGTAAATGCTGTTTCAGTGGGGGAAACTGTGGTCAAATCTTCCATTTTTGGAAGGACCTTCCATAAATGAGTATGCATTTTCCAAAAATGGAAGGCTTTCAAAATTGGAAGGCCTAATCTCAGTGTTCCCAACTGTGATTCCCATCCTTTGATTTAAGTTACAGCCTTTTTAAATGTGTAACTTTAACAGTTTATTTTGCCATTTATGATCATTGATGTAAGGAGAAGCAGCAGTGCTAGTGTTGGTAATACAGGGATGCTATATCAATGTACATAGTGATATAATAGCATGGTGTCCTAATGCACTGCTCTTTTTCTACTTCTAGAGGACACATAGAAATTCATAAGAGAAAACAGCTGGTCAATAACCAACCAGGAGGAACACAGTTATAGTCCTGACAAAAAATGGTTTAAATTAAACTTACTATTCCTCATATACATTGAAGATCCATGCTCCTTCGATAGAAAGTAACACGAAAAATGGCGCAGCAACGCCTATTTAATTCGTCCCATATTCCGGAAAAAAAAAAAACATTGAAAAATGACGAGACCTCCACCCAAATGTTTGGCAAAAGCCCTAAAAACTTGAAATCAACCATGCAATATGCTAATAAATGCAGAAAACAGCAACAAATACATGTTTTACTCGCCACTACCCTCCCGGGACCGCCGCACGCCGCCCCGACAATTCCGCACTGTAAACAAGTCAGCGGTATCGAACAAGCATGGCCCGTCACTAAAGTACTTTTAAGGATATTTACTTTTCGTTTTTGATGCTTTTTGCTTACAAAATGTTTAGGATATTTACTTTTCGTTTTTGATGCTTTTTGCTTACAAAATGTTTGACAGTCTTATAAAACCATCGTTTGTCGGTAAATTTTTGTCAATTTTCCACGACTCATTACTTTGAAAAATTACATAAAATACATCCACGCTAAGATTAAGACATCCACG